CGTAAACGCACGAAATCCCCAACAGGCTTCTTGCTGCAAGTTCTGGACCATGGATCCAACTGAAATCCCACGAAGCGCAGTTTTCCACAACACCTTACTATAGCATAATTAGAATAGGGTTTTGGGGTGCATTATACTGTACTTATAGTACGGAACCCCCACAATGGCATTTGTAACTATTTAGGCCCCTACTGAAACCCAAGCCATATTTCTGGCCATTCTGGCAGTAAGGGACCCCAAATATAGACCCGAAGCACATGCATCCTCAACAGAACCAACTAAGGGAGACACCGAATTGTAAGAACGCGCCTCAACCGCATACTGTAAACAGGAAAATACAGTACCCCTGCAACCCTGAACTCTATACCGAATCTTAAACACATAAACCTTGAAAGCTTGAGCTCTAAACCGTAAAACCTGAACTCTATAACACAAAGCCTCTGAATCCTAACCCTAACATCTTAAAACCACAAAGACTACAAGCCTCAAAGCATTAAACCCCAAACCCTGAACCCTTCGAAACTAAACTCCCCAAAGCCCCAAACCCGCTTGAAGCTTGACCCGAATCATATTCGCCAATAAGATCCTGACAGGCCCAGTAAGGGAAACTCTAAACTGTACCTAGGAACCCTGAAAGGAACCCTTCTAGTAAACTTGTAAATTGTAAACCCTAGACCCTTAAAGGAGCCCTCTAGTAAACCCTTAAACCCTAAACCCTTAAAAGAACCCTCTAGTAAACCCTTAAACCCAAAACAGTTAAAAGAACCCTCTAGTAAACCCTCAAACCCGAAACCCTTCAAGGAACCCTTCTAAAAACCCATAGAACCAGTAGCTGAACCCCGAAAGTCGCGGACAAATGGGGGTTTCCAAAAATGGGCGGCCCTAAAACAAGTAACCTATTTCGTAGGATCCTTGTTTTAAGGACCCCGAAATAGGATAGCCCTGACTTTGGGAAACTCTACGCCCCAAACAATTTATAGAACCTTATTATAAGGACCCTCCAGATAAGGTACCCCTAATTTTCGGAAACTTAAACCCTTAAAGAGCCCTTTAAAGGAACCCTTATAGCACCCTTATAGTAACCCTTTAAAGGAACCCTAAAGTACCCCTAATTTTCGGAAACCCCACATCTTCTGCGAGTAAAGGCACAGGGCATCCGCCGAGCGCAGCGCCGCTGCAGCGGCTTTCAAGTTCGACTCCATGATTGGGAGTTTCCGAAACTAGGGGACACTTATATGTATATATAAGGTACCCTAAATAATAGGGTCCTTACTGTAAGGACCCCAAAATACAGTACCCCTAATTTGCGGAAACTCCCGCTTGGGGTCGAGGGTGAGGAGGGTGTAAGTAGCAGGTAGGGTTTCAGGGATTGGAGTTTGGCCGAGTTTTGCGGCTTGGCGTTTAGGGTTCAAGGGCTCACGGCTTTAGGGTGCGAGTTTTGGTTATTGGGTTCAGAAATACCAGTATAGTGGCGTCGTAACGTAGTTTCTGGTCTAAACGTCCTGATGACAGGGATCCCACTCTTCAGGACCCTACTTGGAGGGTCGGGGGACTTAGTAAGTAGGTAGTAAGTAGACTTATAAGTACCCTAAAAGGGACCCTAATTGGGGTTATGGTACTTATAAGTCCCTAAACTAACCAGTTACTAAGCCCCCCGACCCTCCAAGCAAACCCTAAACCCCTAAAGGTTTCCGGGTTGCTGTGAAAAAATGGCTGCGGCGAAAGCCTAGCGATTCAAAATACCACAGAGAAGGGCTTTCTTGAGGGTCCTATACTGAACTTAGAACCCTAGCAAAACATTGTAATTTTAGCTGTTTCTTAGGGATCATAATAACCAAAAATTAGACAAATTATTTCTAAGTGCCCTATATGTCTGTAAAGGGGGTTGCTCCAAGGGTTTAAGTTTAGGTGTTTAGTAACCACGCTCGCCTCTAAAGGCAAACGACGACCGTTCGACTACCCCAGACCTACGTACGTAATTGTTGAATACGTGAACCTGAAGTTATGAGCAAACGAGTAAAGCGACAAAAATGCACCGAGTCACTAAGCACCCCCCTAGACCTCAAACAAGCAAAGTCCCAACCCTAAAGCCACAAAAGACACCTCAGAGCTTGAAATCAGGATCTGATGCTGCAGGTGTCCAAGCTTCGACGTTTGGGGGGTTTAGTGGGGTTTAGGGTTTAGGGTTTACGGTTTAGGGTTTAGGGTTTTAGGGTTTTAGGGTTTAGGGTTTAGGGCTTTAGGGTTTTAGGGTTTAGGGTTTAGGGTTTTAGGGTTTTAGGGTTTTGGGTTTAGGGTCGGTTTAGAGTTTAAGGGTTTAGGCAGTTGGGTTTAGGAGTTTAAGCGCTGGTTTACTGAGTTACGAGGTGTCGATTTCAATTTCAACAGCTCCCAAAGATATCCACGCTGGAATGTCCAATTCGGTGGTTTAAGGTTTACGCTCTTTTGGTTGAACCCTAAACCCTAAACCGGTCCGGGGCTCAGCTTTTGCTTTGCTGGGGTACGAGATACACCGGTTCTGGGATTAGATAATAAGTCGTAGACCAAAGGCCACATCCTAAACCCCGGAGCAAATGAAGCAGTAAGTCTGAAGACCCAAAAACCTTGGGACCTTAAACCTTGCTGGCCATGAACTCCACAACCCTGACCCACATGCCATTCCCCTGCCCCCGAAAATTCACAACAGTCTGGTCATGCCAAGACACAGGAGGAGTGTCGAGGACGATGGCGGCAAGAGATCGAACAAAGTTTGCCCTAAGTGCCGGTCGAAATGCACAGACAAGTTAAAAACTTGGGCTTGTTCTCTTGACCCTAAACTTCTAAACCCTAAACCCTACACCGCTAAACCCTAAACCCTAAACCTTAACCAATTTGGGGTCCCCTATTTTCGGAAACTGCAACATCGAAACCTCCACCTCGCCTGCGAGGGTTTAGGGTTTTAAGGTTAGGATTTAAGGTTTAGGGTTTAGGGTTTGGGGGTTAGGATTTAATGTTTAGGGGTTAGGGTTTTAGGGTTAGGATTTAAGGTTTAGGGGTTAGGGTTTTAGGGTTAGGATTTAAGGTTTAGGGGTTAGGGGTTGGCAAGAATACAGCACCCTTACAGTCCGTGGACCCTCTCGGCACAGATGCCCAAATGGGTAGTTGTCAAAATTAAGGTCCCGTTTTGGGTACCCTAAATATTAGGTGCCGTAGTATAATCGGGACCCAAAAGGGACCATAATTTCGACAACCACCCAAATTCTGAAACCCACAAAACCTGCTCGACCGCAGAACGCCGACCTCAGCCCCAGAAAGCCCTCTTGTCCCAAAAAGCGGATCCTTCAACCCCGCAACCGTTCAGGGCTTAGGGTCTACTTAAAGGATCATGGGACTTAGTAATTGGGGTTATATTATAACCGTTATAAGTAAGGTAACTATAGTTATAAATACTTTTAACCCCAACTCAGGCACTTCGAACCCTACTTACTATGTCCCATGATCCTTTAAGTAGGGGGGTAGGGGCCTTTGGTCCAGGGTTCTCCAGCCAACCCTGAAACCCTGAAACCCCAACCACCCAAAACCCCATACAGGGAACTCCAGAAAGTTGGAATATGGATTAATGGTAGGATCCCCTATAATTTACCTTAAAGGGGTTACGATAATGATATTCCAACTTTCTGGCTTCTACTGTAAACCCTTAGAGCCCCAAGCCTGAAGGCCTGAACTCTTAGAGCCCCATTCTTCTAGTTGGGGCTCCGAAGGAATCCGAGAGGCGCAAAGCAAACAGGACGGAGATGTCCTGCGAAGACTTTGCATTCGACGAAATCGACTATAAATCTCATGAGGAACTTCTGCAGAGGTGTATGTTCATTATGCTTATACTTTCTGATAGGGAGGTCTACGAAAGCCACCACTATCGCAATACCCGAAACCCCCAAACCCTACTAAACCCTAAACTTCCTAATTCCTTCCATGCTATGTGAAAGCAGAGCCATCGCTTGCCAGGCGTAAGTCACCCCCATAAACGTGGATGGGTTCAGGATTTAGGCTTATAGGGTTTAGAATCTAGATGTGAGGGTTTTAGGGGGTTTAGGGCTTGGGGGCTGTAGGCTTCAGGATCAGGGCTTTTGGGTGTAAGGTTTGAGGTTTTGAACTTAGGGTTGGCTGGGTTCATGATTTAGGTGTAAACGACCCTAAACCCTAAACCCTTAACCCTGGATCCTAAACCCTAAGCCCTAAACCCTAAAGCTCTTGGCCTGGGAGCTTCAGGTTATATGCAACCTCTGGGTATTCCCTTGTCCGTATTTTGGAAAGCTCCGTCGGACACTAGAGCGGTTTTCGGCTCTGTAAGTACGGAATTCCGACGAAGGCAAGAGAGACAGCGAGCGAGAGAGAGAGAGAGAGAGAGAGACAGAAATAAAGAAAGAGAGAGAGAGCGAGGGAGAGAGAAAAGTAGCCACATCTTCCATAGTTGCTGAGCAACTCTTTAGCGATGTCTGGAATAAATTGGGGTGTGTGAGCTTAAACTCTGCTAGCTAGTCAGCTGCCAGTTTTCCAGGGCCATATCGGGGCCTAGATAATTACAAATTCCTTATTAGCCTTTCAGTATAGTAGGGATCTGTAAGGGTTCCATAAAGGGTTTAGGGCGTAGAGTTTCCGAAACTTAGGGGTACCTTATTTTGAGGTCCTTATAATAAGGATCCTACCACTTAGGGTACTATATTGGGATCCCCTCTTTTCGGAAACTCCCATATGCAGCGCCCGACGAGGCATAGCACTGCTGACCATGTGATCGAGATCGTCCCCCAAAATCGCTCATTTTTCCGTCGAGCCGCAGTCTCAGTGAGGCATTACATTAACAGTTGAAGTGATACCACAACCCTATGCCAAACATGAAATCCCGAACGTTCAGCGAGCGTGAACCTAGATGACCAACCTCGCGACGAATCAGACAGTGGGATCCTTTACACTCCACCTCGAAATCCCTGCAAGTCGTTGACGTAAGCCTTTGAAACTCTCAGTCATTCAACGTCGAAGCAGCTGCACAGGTCTGTCCCACCTCGAAGGTTCGTGGGCTTGAAGGTTTTGCAAGGAGTCATAGCATCACTCTTTTTGGTTTTAGGGGGGTGTGGATCTGGCGTGGATGTGGATGAGTCTGTATGGAGCTTTGCCAGCCTATCTACAGGAGGCCTTCATTCGTGCTTTTGGGGTTTAGGGTTTGGGGTTTAGGGTTTAGGCTTTAGGACTTTAGGGTTTAGGGTTTAGGGTTTTTTGCGGGGGTGGCTCGGTTCTGAAATGGACGGCGGTTGGGCGAAAGTAGGGGCCTCAAGGACTCCGCAACAGCATTGCTTAGGTACTGTCCCCATACAGTAAGAGTCCATAATAGGGCTACCATTAAAGTCCTCATATATCTATACTATGAATATTATTCAGATATTACTGAGTGGGGGCCGTACCCAAAGCATTGCCATGTAGTTAGTTTTTCATTAGAAGCTGCCCCCAAACTGTAATAGTGACTATAAGGATTATATTAGGGCCCTATTATAGTCCTATTATACCACTATTACAGGGTGGGGGGCCTTTCTAAGTTATTTAGGCTTCGAGATCAGGTGGGATTCAAGCAGAGGCTCCGAAACCCGAAGCGCTGAGAGCATGAAGGATCTGAACGGTTCAGGGTTTAGGGGATCTATGAGGGCTACTTTAAGGGTACTAAAGGATACCATAGGTTTAAAAAGCTACTATAAGGGCGACTGTAAGGGTACTAAAGGGTACTATAGGATTTTAGGGTTTTAGCACATGGGGTGTTTGGCTTCAGGCTGCAAGTTTTTCCATTCAGATCCCTCTTCGCCCCGGTTGCAAACCCCCGCAAAGATATACTCGTGCGGCTGAAGATCCTCGCTATCATTGTCGAAAATTGACCTGGACCTTTCATGTCATCCCAACACCCTATATAAACCCCTCTATACGAGTAAACGCTCAAAAAAAACACGTGTTAAGTCGCACCCAAACCTGACGAGACAGCAACTGCCGACACCCGACACCGCGGAACCAGTCGAAGGGGCCTTCCGAACCAGCATAGGCTTTTGGGGCCTCCTTTCTAAAACCTAAGCCCTAAACCCTAAACTCCTAAATCCCCTAAACCCCTAAACCCCCTGAACCCCTAAAACCCCTAAAACCCCTAAAACCCCTAAAACCCAAAAACAAACCCCTAAACCCCTAAACCCTAAACCCCTGAACCCTGTAGATCCGTTAAAGGAACCCTTGTAGTACCCTTTAAAAGGACCCCATCAACCCCCAAACCCTGTGCTCGCTCTGACAGGCTCAGATCTGTGGGTGTCGCACAAACATCCAGGGCCAAACATTATACAGGGGCTTAGTTAAGGGATATTGGCAATATCCCTTAAGCTACTTGAGGACTCCCTTAAGGGATCTTTAAGGGATCTATAGGGTTTAGGGTTTCCCAGAGACTCCAATATCCTTTAATTGAAGAATATACCGAGGGCCGAGGGCTCCCTTAAGGGATCTTTAAGGGCTCTATAGGGTTTAGGGCAATAGGTGGTTGTCAAAATTATGGTCCCTGTTTTGGGTGCCTTAAATATTAGGTGCCGTATTGTAATAAGGACCCCAAAAGGGACCCTAATATTGACAAACACCCACGGCCAAGCATTATACAGGGGCTTAGTTAAGGGATATTGGCAATATCCCTGAAGCTACTTGAGGAGTATATCATAAACTATACAGGGACTTAGCTTAAGGGATATTGCCAAGAGGGTTTAGGGTTTAGGGATCCCTTAAAACTAATTGAGGAAATTATTGTACAGGGGTTTGGGTTTCGGGATTTGGGGGAAGGCAGCGACTTAGGGTTTAGGGATTAGGGTCTAGGGATTTAAGGTTCAGGGTTTTGGTGGGACTTAGTTAAGGGATATTGCCAATATCCCTTACGCTAGTTGAGGAATATACCATAAATTACAGTAAGATCCCTGATATGACTTAATGAATACTCTTCAGTTAAGGGATATTGGAGTTTTTGGGTCTACAATAATAATAATTATACTAAGGAGACCCGCAAAACACTAGAAGTAATTACTTTTGGCCCCGAACCCTAAGCCTTATAGTAACCTTTATCGACACCGGGTCGCACAACACCCAGGGGGAGACGGAGCGAGAGAGAGAGGTTTGAAATTTAGGGTTTAGGGTTCAGGGTTCAGGGTGAGAGAGAGAGAGAGAGAGAGAGAGAGAGAGAGAGAGAGAAAGAGAGAGAGAGAGAGAGTCCAACCAAAATGGCGTATGAAAGGTACCACTGGGCAACGCCGTACAACGCCGCCTCGTCAAAGCCCCTGAAATCGCAGGCCCTAAACCCCCAAACCCTAAACCCCCAACCCCTAAACCCCTAAACCCCTAAACCCCTAAACCCCTAAACCCCTAAACCCCTAAACCCCTAAACCATATCGGCTAAGAGGCAACAGTAAAGCTCAAGCGGATTCTGCTGGTCCCCCAAACTCCAGACCTCGCCGGCCAGGGCTTAACATAGGGACCTTAACAATTAGAACAGGGTTTGGGGCCCATTAAAGGGTTTAGGGTTTAGGGTTTACTATAGTTATAATACGGAACCCCCCAAGATAGCACAGGAAATTAATAAGGCCCCTATGCTAAAACCCCCATAATACACCTTATAGTAGCCCTTATAGACCCCTTTAAAGGAACCCTAAACCCTATAGTACAGGTACTTTCCCCCAAGATAGTACCGGTAACTATGGAGGCCCTATATCTTAGAACCCTACTATAGATACCTTACTTGGAGGGTCGGGGGACTTAGTAACTGGTTAGTTTAGGGACTTATAAGTACCGTAACCACAATTAAGGTCCCTTTTAGGGTACTTATAAGTCTACTTACTACCTACTTACTAAGTCCCCCGACCCTCCAAGTATAGACCCCTTTAAGGAATCCTTTAAAGGAGCCCCCAAGATAGTATAGGTGGTTTTTAAGGCCCCTACATTAGAGCTGCGGAGCCGAAGCTCCCACCAAAGACTACAGCAACCAACACCGAAGAGAGTTTTGGGTCTAAGGGTTTAGGGTTTCGGGTTTAGGGTTTAAGGTCTAAGAGTTTAAGGTCTAAGGGTTTAGGGCTTTAGGGTTTTAGGGTTTAGGGTTTAGGACTTAAGATGTAGGGTTGAGGGGCTTAAGTCTACTATCCACATCACGAGCCAAGCCCTGACCGCTTCACACTACGTGTACAGCCAACTACTCCTGAACCCAAACACTAAACTTACAGACGCCCTTAACCCAAATCCTAATCCTGCACAGGCCTTACACTGAACACATCTCCAAACTGAAACCTCGAACGCTACACCCGAAACTGAAATCCTACACCTCGAGCCCCACCTTGACCCCAAATGACACCCGCCTTGTGAAGGACTTTCCTAAGGAAGTCACAAGAAGGAACCCTACCGCAAAAAGGTAGGGCTTTCTTCGGCCCAGGTAAAACCCAAATGAGCCGAGCCTCAATGTAAACCACAATAATACTATATGGGCCGTAGGATAATCAGACTCATAAGGGTTTGTGGGTTTTGTATACTATAGTCATAATAAGGAACCCGAAATCTGATTGTAGTTATTGAAGCCCCTGTAACTACAATGATACACTTTTCTGTTTGTTAAGGGCTCTTGTCCGACATGTAGGTCTGCTGCAGCTGTGGGCCGGCTTACCCAGAAGTCCATATACATTTTTACTCTTATAGAATTAGGTCTCAAAAGGCCATCCTTATTATAGTTTTTGGGACCTAATTCCATAATACTGGTATATATGGACTCTCTTGGTTAGCATTTAGGGCTCCTTGTTAGTGGCCATTTCGGGTATATGAAACCCCACACACCCCAATGCTAAATCCTTGCTGTATAAGGGTTTTCGACAGAATAAAGGATCTATGCTCGTGTACGCCATAAACCCCCAAAGCTTCAACCTTCTGGAACTTTCATACCCTATACCCCTAAAACCTCCACCTTACCTAAAGTCTCCATTGTAGTTCCTTTTTGGGATTACTTTTTCGGATCCTTAATACAACATTGGCTAAACCAAAAAAGGAACTACAATGGAGAACCCCTGAAGCGTTTTGCCATGTCAGCCAAAGCGCCACCCACCCATCTTCCGTCCGCTTCGATGCGCCAGTGCTGGCATAGGCAGGGCAGGTGTGGGCGCAGCAGTAGACCTTTGCAGGTTTTGAGTACCGTATACGGCTTATAGGGCTTGCGGTTTGGGGTGGTTTTGCTTCGCTCTAGTGCGGTAAACAATCAAAAGTTCCGCATGCAGGGTGGAAGCACCAATGCAGGTACTAGCAGGTGCAAGTTCATAGGCGTTGTTCGAGGCCCAGCAAGTAGTGACACTCCAAACACGTGAGGTACCGTTGCTACTTCACGGCTTCAGGACCCTTAAAGGCCCTAAAGTAGGCATTCTTCGTATGCCTGAGTTCCTTTGGAGTATGCAGCACCCTCAGAACCATGCAAAACCTCACAATGTCCGCAGCTCTCGCAGACTCTTCGCCTAGACCAGCCAAAGACCCCAACAGACAACGAAGATCTCACACGAAGTACCATAAATCCCTGGTTCGAGCGGAGCTTCTTTTCCACCTGCTTCCGCTTCGGTGGCGTATGTCTGCGTTTCGATCTTACAGATCGACGTAGATCTTCCGTACAGGAAGGATCGCAGTTTCTTCCGCTGGGAGGACCGACTGGTTCCCAGGCGGTTCTCGCAGACAGGAAGCAAAGGAAAATCGGAGATTAAAAGAGGGTCGGGATGGGAGGGCGAAACAAAATTTCTCAAGATTTCGAAGCTTATGCCAAAATGGTCACGGAGTATGCATAAGTTCGAATGAATCGGTGAGTTAATCCCCAGACCGATTCGGTGTTATGGTGAGATATGAAGCTGTCACTTCGCACAAACAAGTGTGTGCTACACTGCAAAACATCCAGCGTCGGCAATGTTCCCACCATACAAATAAAACCCTAAGCCCTAAACCCTAATTAAGGCTGAGACTGCTGATCCTAGCATCTTCAAACCCGACTTTTGCGGCTGAGTGGAAAACGTACAGGAGAGCGACAGGGACACTACGGCCCAAGCCGAGACCACAAACCCCAAAAAACGTGAACCTCTAAACCCTGGTAGCCCCAAAACCTGGACACGATACCCTAAACTCTGGTAGAACCAAACCCCGAACACTCTAACCCAAAATCCCAAATCTGGTCAGGTGTTTGAAGGCCCAGGAACCGCCAGGTTCTCCCGCATGGACAAGGAGAAAGGGGACCTCAGCTCATAAAGGGTGTAATACAGGAGCAGCGATACCTGGAACGGTTTAGGATTTAGGGTTTAAGGTTTAGTATTTAGGGAATAGGGTTTGCAAGTATAGTGCACTATGACGAATATGATAAGGAGCCCTGAGGAAAAGCCTCGGTAGTTCTTGACGCTTCTGTAGCAGCTGCTGAGACCCAAACCTCCTAGTCGGACTTGAAGAAACCTAAACCCTAAAAACCCTAAACCCTAAACCTGAAAACTCAAGCAACAATCTCCAGATTATGCCTCCACGGGCTGATCGTTGAAGTTCGATGCACGAGCTGTCAGGCATGTATGGGGAGCACCGGCCCTCAGCAGGTGCAGTGGCCTGAGTAGCCAAGCCCCGGCGGAGGGGCGATCACGCATGGCTTGTACGCGGCCTCGGCCTCCTCGCGGGAACGACGGAAACTTGGGCACCGGCATGGGATCTGCCAAGTTTCAGCCTTACAAGCTCCTAGCCCGGATGTCTGAACTCCTAAACCCTTAACCCTGAAGCCTAAACCCTAAATTCTAAAACCTAAAGCCTAAAGCCTAAACCCTAAACTCTAAACCCTATAAACCCTAAACCCCTAAACCATCCCTAGAAGCCCTGGGGCGCTCAAGCCCCAAAACGTTCAACGAGCTCAATGCTCTAGAACCCAACCCCCCAACACCCGAAAAGCTAAACCCTAAACCCTAAACCCTTGACACCCTAAATCTCAAACCTTAAAAGCAGCATCAAAACCGTAACTGCGAAAGCCTTTACACCCCAAAGCCTAAATCCTAAACACCTCCAATGCCCTTCCCGAACCCCAAGACAGCGCTTCTTACACAAACCTTAAGCCACGCTCCTTAAACGAACCTCGAACACCTAAAGAAAACACACCACACCCCTGAAGCCCCAAAATCCCTAAACCCTAAACCCTAAACCCTAAACCCCTAAACCCTAAACCCTAAACCCCTAAACCCTAAACCCTAAACCCTAAACCCCTAAACCCTAAACCCTAAACCCTAAGCCATAAACAAGCCTGAAAGCCCTGAAGCACTGGACTGGGTACAAGGCCCGCTGTCGGGGTTGAGTCCCCTGGGCAGTGGAAGCCGGGGATGCAAGGGTGTACGGCTTCTGCTGGGTGAGTATTAGGGTTTAGGGTTCGTGAGGGTTTATGGTTTGGGGTTTCTAAGGGTTTCATTTTTGTGTATTCTTTAAAGTTCTGGTGAGTAGTTCAGGGTTTGGGGATGTCCGGGGTTTTAGGCTTTAGGCTTTGTTTAAGTCTCTAGCGTGCAACGTCGCACTAAGCAAAGGCTTCAAGTACTCATACACCCCCGATGTGTCTGCTTGTCTTCATCGACATGTTCTTGGGATAAAGATCGGCGTCCTGGCAGGACTTTTGGCCCAGAAAACTCCAGTAATGTAGGGGCCTGGAGAATTAAGATAGGACCTGAGTCAGCAACTTAAGGATGACAACAACGGAACCTTCTTCCTCTTTGTTCGACCCGTTTAGTAGAGCAGGTTGACTGTTTTGGCTCCAGGGCAGTGTAACCAGTTTTGACTCTTTGGAAGAAACTTCGTACCAAACTAGCAGGTACTTGTCCTGAAGCTGTGAAAGCCATATAGCCGCATATCCTACCATGCAACCGCCCTAAACCCTGAACCCATTATGGACCCCGAACACCAAGCCTGCACCATCTGGGAGTTTCCGAAAATAGGGCACCCTAATCTCGTGCCCTAAATAGTAGGATCCTTAGTAAAAGGACCCCCAAATGAGGTACCCCTAATTTTTGGAAACTCCCATCTACGAACTCCAGCAATCGGATCCCAAGCCTCCATGGGCTTTGGAATATCAGGTGCCCTTAAGCCCAAATTCAGGACTCAATCCGCTTTTGGAATAGTGAATAGTGCTCCCCGCATCTCATGGGTCTGCTGCTTTAGGGAAGCCAGCCGCGGGCTGCAAGCCTCGAGGCATGCCGTAAGTAAGCTCTATTCCACGAACCATGACCCTAAACCCTACACACAAAAACCGCAAGTGCGGTGCCTTGAGTCCAAATCCCCAGCTCCAAACCCACTCCAAACCTAGGTAAGCCCTTACAAAGGATCCCTGAAACGAGGCACCTCAAGTAGCTGATGTGGTGCCAGGACATGTTCTCCCAGGTGGTCATGTTGGCCATGGCGAGATACCTGAAGAGGCTGGCTTCTTAGGACTAGGGTTTAGGGCCCTAATTGTTTGAATGTGGTTCCTTTAGGGGTTCCTTTAACAGGGCTACTATGAGGGCTGTTATAAGGGTATAATATAGGGGCCTTACTGGCTGGAAGAGGGTTCCCTTAACGGGGTCGAATAGGGTTGAGAGGTCTTTACAGGTAGGATGCTGGTGTTGTGGGGCCGGTATCAAAAAGCCCATCAATGTTCTGCAACTTCTAGACGGTGTTACCTTTGCATTCTCGGACTTCGGGATTGGCTGGAAACATCATTCCATCCAGTAGCGAGCTCCACCAATCATGTCTGTGTTGAAGACCACCGCCAGTTCAATACATGTGGAGACTGCTCCAAAGTCGTCTAACTTTTGGGAGCCAATGCTACAAAGATTGGCGCACGAAGCACAAGCCGAACCCACTAACCTCGAACTCCGAACACCCCTACACCCTGAATCCGGTCGCCAGGCAATTTGCACTACGATATAGGCCCAAGCCCACGTATTAGAAGCGGCCCCCACCCTGTAATAGTGATTCTAAGGATTTTTTGGGCCCGATTATATTCCTATTATACCACTATTACAGCGTGGGGGCCCTTCTAACCTAATGTACCTTACAGTTGCACTGTCGTATCTGAGCTAGATCCGAAACCCCATAAAGCCCCGATTTCAATAAGAAGTAAGCAGCGCCAGGTGCAGACCGAAGGCGCACAACTCTACTTGGAGGTTCATGGGTTGGTTAGTAGGGGGGTTTAGGGTTTAGGGTTTAGGGGAATGGAAGAATGGTAGGAATAGTAGTTATAATTGTACCCCATTCTTCCGTGCCCTGCTCACCAAAGGTAGGAATACCCTTCACCCTCAAGCCGAATATTCTCAAGCAGACTGCGATCGAAGCGCGAATGGAAGCACACGAGACAGCTCACCATCATGATGAGAAAGCCTAGTCTTCCAGGAGCTTAGGGTTTGAGGGGCTTTGTTGGCATTGATGGGTTTAGGGTCTTCAGGGTTTAGTGTAGCTTACGGTTCGGGGTGTCGGGTCTTGGGCTCCAGGCTTCGTGTCTTCATGGTTCCCAGAAGCTCAGGGCTTTTTGGGCTTACGGGGCTTTTTCTTCAACGTGTAAGAACATGATGGTTGGTGGTCACACTCATACTGCGCACAGGATGCTGCAGCATGCTTCTGCTCTACACGGCATGTTGGTCTTGTGATGGGCTTTGTGAGATCCTTATCCTACATAAGCCCTAGACATCCACACCATACACCCTAACCCTTAAGCCCCTAAACCCTGAACCCGAAACCGGACACGCAGAATTTCAGACGTTCCTCTCTCCTGCTGCGGATCTCTGGACTCTGGGCACAAGACATCCTGAACTTCCTCTAGTCTTCTACAACGCGATTGTCAGCTCCACTCCCACCCAGCAGCCGATCTCTGCCAGTCTCTAGGATGTGTGAGGACCCAGAAGGGACCTGTATAAACAAAACACAAGTTTGGGACGGTTGGGATATGTCGCCCCAGAGCTTTCGTTCGGATGCATTGTGTGTTCCTGATGCATATCTCCCGCTGAAGCTTCCCAAGTTTCTTTACCAGTAGGTGGCTTGAGGTTTGGTCTGTGCAACCTTTTGATATCCGATCGTTAAGTTAACGGGCTGCCGGCTGCCGGTATCAGCACTCAGGGCTAATATGGGGATATTCTACTACACTTATGATGTGGTACCCTAAGGAATACAGTAATACTAGTACGTGTGCCGGCTTCTACATTACCGGCAGGTTCTCGACATCCTAATATAGGGGCCTCAATAATTACCTATACTATTTTGGGGGTTCTTTATTACAGCGAGTATATAATGGGCCCCAAGACCCTATTCTAATTATTAAGGCCCCTATACTACTGCTGGCGGGCTGCCCATGACGACCATTCCGAGCACCAGCAGCGGTGCACGCCCCAGCCAAACGGGCGGCAGGAAACCATCCTGCGCTGCACGGATCGAGATAGGGAGTTTATCAAAGGAGAAAAGGAGGGACCCTTAATGGGGACCCCTAACCTATAGTGGGCTATATAATGGGTATATAATAGCTATATTAAGGGTATATACCTCGGGGTCCTTATTAAGGGTCCCTCCTTTTACCCTGGGAGTTTAGAGTTTGTAGGCTCTAGGAGTGTACAAACCTCTTCTTCACAAGAGTTCAAGTTTAAGAGCAGAGTAGGGTATATCACAATACACTAAGGACCCCAAAACCAATATGTTACCCCAAAGCCGTAAAACCCTAAAGCCTAAACCTTAAACCTTAAACCCCTAAACCCTAAACCAATATTTATTTATTTATACATATATATATATATATATATACATATTGATACAGATAGATACTACCCCAAAGCCGTAGAACCCAAATCCATAATGAACCGCCTGTGTTCGTCCCAGCTACGGAATGCGGTTTCGATTCAAGGGCTTCAGTGCTGCGACCAGCCCCGGTCAGAGTGTCGTGGAGTTCCTTCCTCTTGTGAACTCCTATCACTCCGACCGCCACGGGGTCCAACCAGTTGACGAGGGCGTCGTACGCATCCTCGGGGAGTTGGGCCCCTTCGCATTTGCGCGAGGCGGTCACCACACCGTCCACAGCCTTCAAAGCCTTGGCTGGGGGCATGTTCCTTCAGAGATGAGAAGAAGTGCTTGTGGACGGTGGAAAAGGCAATGGCGCGCAATTTGTTGTTCTGCGCTTGAGCCAAAATGGCAGGCTTTAGGGTTTGGGGGCTTGCAGATTACAGATAAGGATTTGGTGTCATGCATGCGGAGTTTGGGATCTTGGCGTCCCTGTACCAGTCTGTATTACGGGTTATCAAAGGCTCTATCGATCTTTCTTTCTATATCTCTATCTCTACCTCTACCTATAGCTATATCTATATCTGTATATATACATACAATTTTTATCGATGAATATGTAATATTATATTAGTTTAAAAACTTATGCAACTGTTACAGAGTGGGCTCAGGATCCAAGCTGTACCAATCCAAAAAGGTATTCATGCTCGTGCATTTGCACTTTTTACCTTCGCTTCGGGAAAGCCCTAAAGGTCAAATCCAAAGCTCCAAATCGACTTGCCGACGACTGCCTGCTTCTAAAGCCGACAACCACGAAAACTTCAGTCCTAACCGCCTTACGGACCTGCACGAACCCCATCAAAGTTACTCTGCATGAGCTCCGATTGAACCCACACAAATCACACCGACTAGAACTCCTGACGGCCTAACTCAACTCAAGCAAAATCCTTCCAAACAGCTACCAACCCGGGGAGCCGTTCCTTCGAAACCAATGAAACCCAGTAACTTTGAAAACCCCTAAACCATCTCAAAAACTTACAGAAGCCCTGTCGTTCCAAGACTTCAACCAGCAAAGTAGGCACTAAGTGTACCCTTGGTGTCTCAGGGTGTGGAGACAGCCCCTAAACCCGAAACCCCCAAACCCTGAATCCCTGAACCCCTGAACCCTAAACCTCCAAACCCATAAGCCCTAAAACCCAAAAAACGTGAACCCTAAACCCAACAAAAAGACAGAACCCTAAGCCCTAAACCCGAAAAAAAAACACTCAACCCTGAACGCCAAAACAACCTAAACTCTCGACATTAAGAACAAAGCAAAGCAGAGCCGCCGGCCCTAACTAACTTCCCCATAAATCCCTAAACCCTAAACCGATCCCTTAAAGGAACCCTTCCAGAATCCCTTAAAGGAGCCCTAAACCCCTAAACCCTAAACCCTACCCCTATAGATTTCCTAAAGGAGCCCTCAGCGTTGCTTGAAAAAAGAACCCTTAGGATCCCTTTAAAGTAGCCCCTTCAATACCCTGTAAAGGAGCCCTCGCCGGCTCCTGAGCGAGATCTAGGCTCGCCTCGAAGAGGAAGACAGCGAGCTCGAGCCACTGGGCGATGAGGAACCTTTCTGTTAAGGGTGGGGCTCCTTTGAAGGGGAGCTCTAGGGTTCCTTTACAAGGGATCCTATAGGGTTATCGGCAGTTATAGGAGTTCCTATCTTTACAGGGCTTTGGGGGGAAGGCCCCTTTAAGGAACCTTGGGTTCAGGGGAGGGCTCCAGTAAAGGTAGGGTTTAGGGTTTAAGGCTTAGGGTTTGGGGTTTAGGGTTGGGGGTTTAGGAGCTAGGGTTTAGGGTATTGTAGAGGTTCCTTTCAAAGGGTGGTTTAGGGGTTCCTTTAAAGCGTGCCACAGGGCTTTAGGGCTTCAAGGATTTAGAAGCTCCTTCAGAGGGCATTATGACCATGATAACGTCCATCCAGACCTCATCGGCTCCTGAGTGCATCCATGGGCCAAAACCATGATAACGACCACACAGACATCATCCGTCCCCCGGAGCATCCATGGGTCAACCATGATAACGTCCACCTAGGCCTCATCCTTCTTTCCCCAACCGTGCCGTTATCCCACCCAGGCCTCATCCTTTCCCCAGAGCATCCATGGGTCAACCGTCACATTATTGGGCCAAAACCAGAACGACATCCATCCAGACTTCATCGTTCCCCAGTCCAGAATCCGTTCCCCGGAGCATCTGTAGGTCAACCGTGAGCGTCCACGGGCCAACTATGATAACGTCCACGCAGACCACATCCTTTCCTCAGGGCATCCCTTCGCCAACTCTGATACCTCCCACACTCCGCTCTTCCGCTCAAACCACCAACGGCGCATACTACACCATATGCCTGGGACTCGGGGCATAGACTGATGGCGGCAGACGTCCCACTTCCCTCGTCTTCCCATGCGAGGCCAATCCAGATCCCTGTAGATACCTCTCTGAGTTTGTGTGGAGGTACCAACTGCCGCTTACGCAAGATTTCATCCAGGCTATGGCCGACATTTCATGGTTCGTGCTGCAAAACCACGGCTTTTGCGGATGTTTCGACACTACCCTATGCTTTCCTAATTCTCTTTGTCAACTTAGCCAAGGAGTTCCGAACACAAAGTGCGCAAAACCCGAGCGAAAAACGTATGCGTCAAGTCTCCAATTTTTTTTGCGCGCCTGCAACCTCCTAAAAGGGTTCTTTGAAGGGCTACAAGGCATCTCAAATTGGGTTTAGGGTATCAAAGGGGTTTAAGGTTTAGGGATTTAAGGTTTAGGGTTTGAGGGTTTCGGGCTTTACGGATGAGGGGTTTACCGGCTTAGGGTTTAGGGTTTAGGATTTCAAGCGGTCAAGGCTTGGGAATGAACGGCTTTTCGGGTTTTACTGCGCTTTCTGCAGGAAATAGAAGCCCAGAGGGACCTGTGAGGTCCTTGGGTTCGAGAATTATAGGGTTTTGGAGCGGATGCATACAATTTCCTGAGTGTTGTCAGAGTTTTATGGGGCTTCTTCAGATTTCATAGGCGATTGAAATATCATATGCTTGGTTCGGAAGGTTTTCATAGAGCTTCAGAAGATGACTTTTAATGTCCTGGTGATATACTGCTTGAGTTTCTGACTTCGGCTCGCAGAGTCTGTGCTTTGAGTTGCAAGGTTGGCGGTTTAGGGTCTAGCTTAGCAGGCAGTTCGTGTAGGCTTTGTGGGCTTAGGCCTTTAGGGTGAAGTCGTAGGGTTAGGAAGCCGCGTTGTGGCTCAACATGACCCAGGGCCTTCTGCAGACAAGGCGCCAGTAGAAGTAGACACGGTTGCCTTCGCCAACACAGGTCCCAACCTCATGGGGGTTTCCGAAAATAACAATAATGATAATAATATATAATAATAATAATAATAATAATAATAATAATAATAATAATAATAATAATAATAATAATAATAATAGGGGACCCTAATATCGTACCCTAAATAGTAGGATCCTTATTATTAGGATCCCAAAATAAGGTACCCCAAATTTTGGAAACGCCCTCATGAGCAGTGCAACTAAGATCAGATGGACTTAAACGTGGGTGGTTGTCAATATTAGGGTCCCTTTTTGGGTCCTGGTGATAATACGGCACCTAATAAATAGGGTACCCAAAAAGGGACCATAATTTTGACAACCACCCACGTGTTTAAAGCCCGAGCTCTGAGTCCCTGACATAATGTAGTAGGGTTCAGAGGCCCGTAGATACTTAGAATAGAGTCTAGAATTCCGCTTCAGGATTCCTAGAAAGGTTCTATAATAAGGGTTATCGTAAGGGTTCCAAGGCACGATTTTCGGCTAAATTGCGAAGAGTGGCGCACCTATGGAACTAAAACCCTCAAGACTCTAGACATTTACTCTGACCTCGGTGGTAAGTCCCTATATCACAGCAATACTATCAGGAATTACTCTAACGAAATAATACTCCATCAAAACATCCATTCATCGGACGGGATTAGACCATAGTCGTGTTCTAATGATCAGAAGGGAACGGCCCGAAACCCTAACAACAGACTCCTGCGAGACTGAGGGCTTATGTAGACCGCTGACCCTCTCGCTCATTTCCGGAGAGGGTTTATTAGTCATCAAGGTCTACATTCGGAGTTAGGGGTGCGGTCATGGGGTGTAACGGTTCTGGGTGTCTGGGGCCAAGATTCAACCCGAGATGTGAGATGCATCCTGAGCCTTCAGTTACCAATATCTCAGCCACGAGATGCGAGAAGTTCGGCAAACTCCAAAAACAGGTCTTGCGTCAGCCCTGCATCTCAACCCGAACCCCCCAAAAAAATTACCTAAAGAGTGCAAAACACAAACCCAACACCCCGAATCCGGACAGCACTCTTTCGGCCCTTCACTGTATGGAACTACAGTAGAAGCCAAAAAGTTTCAAACCCAATAGCCTCAATCCTTAAAAGTAATGTGAAAGGGAATCCCAGCACTGGTTGGCCTTAATCCGGATTCCAACTTTACGGGGTTACTGTAAGACTCGTGTGAAACGAACATGATGGGAGGCCAAAAGGGGGTTTCAGATTCTTGGGGTAGGGATTCCTTAATATGAACCCCATTATGGGAAGCCTAGTCCCTACTCCCTTTGGCCTCCTATGAGAACACAAGCAACCGGCCCCCGAAACCCAAGCGAGATCTTCCGGGGCTCTGGCCCACGGGCAGTGGTGGTCATGTGTACCTCAGGCAGTGTTGGATTTGGGTTTCCCAGGAGGGTTCAAGGGCCGGGGCTTCGGGCGACGACGACGATGATGTTGACGATGATGATGGTGGTGATGGTGATGACGACGATGACGATGATGATGCTGATGACGATGATGATGGCGATGGACGCCCTGAGCTGAAACTTGGTTTCAAGATGTTCAGCTCAAACTTGATCCTCAAGCCGAATCTCGAACACCCAATCTCAAGATCTGGAGACATCATCCTGACACACCTTTGTACTTTCGCAGACGTATCTAGATCTACACGGACAGTCAACACTTAGAACCGTCGCCGTCGCTGTCTCAGAATTCGTCAGCAAACATCATCAGCTGCATCATTGTCATCATCGCCATCATGGCTCAAGCACCAGCAACAATTGTGGCAAAATATTCGCTATCGCCACATCGTGTCATCCTCCTCCTCCTCCTCTTCCTCCTCCTCGTCCTCCTCCTCCTCTTCCTGCAGCTGCTGCTGTTGTCGCGACTATGTCAAAGCCTAACCCTTTGCTGTAGTGGTAGCTAAAGCCAGCCCAGATTGTTGCTTCATCTGGCAGCCAAGCGGCGCACGCATTTACCACAGTCGCGGCAGTGCTTTGTCCGCAGTGGCTGGTGCATGTGGCATATCTCCAGGGGCTGTGGAAGTTGGGTTTCACGCTCAAGCCTTACTCGTGGGGCAACAGGAATCTAAAGAAAAGACGTTGGAGGTAGAATGATGACATGAATCGGATGAACAGTGGAAGAACAGGAGGGGAATAGAGTATTCATTATTGGGTCTGTTATACTGCACATGTCTTTGGGACGAAAGCTTGTGGGCCTGCAGTTCGCGATGTGCAAATGAACAATGGGGGTTTAGAATTTGGGGTTTCCCGGTTTATGACAGGGACTGAATATGCCGTACTTTCGCTGGTTGGAGGTACTCTCAACCTTTCTGGATTGTATCTGCTAACAGTACAGAGGGTGTCACAAGACGAGCTGATGAAAACAAACGACCTGAAAACAACCGGTACTTTGACTGGGAAACTTGACGCCCTCAAACCTAATGTAGACCCCTGATGAACAAATCTTTCAGGCCCTATGTCAGGACCCTGACTAAACCCCTACAAAGGGAAGGGGCATTTTGGGTAAGGGAGTTTAGAGTTGGATCGATCAATGCTTGCAAAGCTTCGTGGCTGCAGTACTGACGGGACTTCCGTGCCGGCCTTTGGGCTTTGGGGCATTGAGTCAGGATGTGGGGTTTGAGGGTTTAGGGTCTAGGGGTTTAGTTTGGGCTTAGGAGGTTAGGGGTTTATCGTTTTAGGGGGTTTGGGGATTTAGGGGTTTAGGGGTTTGATGGACTTCGGAGAAACTAAAGCCACAGCCTTGCAGTAACGCAGCTTCACCCCGGACTGTGTAACCTGGGCTCAGTGGGTTTTTGGTGCACGGCCACAGCATCATCGCTAACAAGATCTTCCACACCGTGTTAAGGACCGCGTAGTGATGCCTTTGCTATAGTCCACTGGACATTTCCTATGAAAGGGACATTGGAATCTCTCCGAACAATGATGCTGATGCTGTTTCTGCGTATCTCACGATGACTTCACTTATGGGCACTATGTCTAAAGCTGCCAAAACAGGTATGTAGGAAAGTTACACTAGAGTTTCGGTACGGATAACACCGTAGCCGACTTGGAGGGGCGGGGACAGCTCACAAGTGGAATTTTAAGTGCCCTACAAGGTATCCTAATTGGGGATAGGGTACTTACAACTCTTTAAAACAACTTCCGACTATGTCCCCCGACCCTCCAAGCAGGCAAGACTGGGCGTCGCGAGCTACCGAGGCCATGTTCTTGCTGTGAGTTGGGTCCTGCCCCCACTCAGCAACAGACATAATCGGCCCTTAATGATCGGTAGTACCCAAGATTAGATACGGTCGATGATACAGATCCTGCATGGCCCATAAGAAGGAATATATTAGAATTCCCATAGTTTAGGGTCCTTAAGGTAATGCAGGATTTATATCATCAACCGCATGAGTGCTTATGGTTTAGGGGGCCTGCAATCCCGAGCCAGACATCCCCCCCGAAACCGCAAACCTTAGCTGTATCGTAAACCCGAAACCCTAACCCTAAGCCCCCAGACCCTAAACCCCTAAACCCCTTAAACCCCTAAACCCTAAACCCCTAAACCCCTTAAACCCCTTAAACCCCTTAAACCCCTTAAACCCTTAAACCCCTTAAACCCCTTAAACCCCTTTTGGTAACAAAGCGCTTCGGACAGCTACTTTTTCGCCACTATGCTCAAGGCGCCTTTGAGAGTAATGTTGCGGTTTGCATTCACGTTTGATGCTTCCTACCGCACTAGCACTTTACAATGAAGGCTACCTAGGCATGCGCTCAGGCTACACATTGCAAAACGAGGAGGTATTCTCACCCGTCTTATCTACTGACGCATGCCGGCTGTCAAGACTAAAACTGTACACCAAAAACATGCAAGCGACTCTGCGGCAACTACTAGATTGCTATTCCAAGCTACTACTAGCTCGCGATTTCCATGCCAATTCACATGACTCAGCACACCTCGTCCTTAAAGGAGTCTCAGGTTTGTCACTGGTCACCTTGTTGTGTGCCCTTCTTGATCTTCTTCTCTGGGTCACTGAGGTAAACCTTGGCTTCACGCATTACCTTGAAAAGCTGATATGGCTTCATCGACTTTGTCAATGCGTCGGCGAGCTGTGTCGCCGTATCAGTCCAGCGAAGGCGATCACCATGGCCATCGTAGACCGTGTAGGTTTTGCTATCGCCTTCCCATAGTTGTTGACGCATCGATTCTAGCTCGATGGCGAGTCGTCGATCGGTTACCTTGCTCGCTTGGCATGAATTTAAATGGTCTGTCAAGCTCCGGCAATCGGAAACCCATTCATGTCTCATGACCTTCTGAGTGGTTTCCATCCAATCCTTGAGGACCGGCAACTGGCCCCTCAACTCGCATAGAATAGCCCGTATCCGGTCACCACTCTCGACCGCAGCCTGCATCGCATAGGTTTCAGCCTGAAGGGTGCTTCTACATACCCGGCGAATGGTTGTCGAACCATAGCCGATGATGTGCGCGTCGTGCTCATTGGTATCCACCATCTTCTCCGATGTGATGTAGTGGAATCGGCCTTGTTGGCTCCGTAGCCCTTCTTCTCCGGCATGGCTTGCATCCGAGAAGCTGACCACACACGCATCATGCCATGAGAATTTTCCCGCTGGGTAATACATTGCGATTCCCATATCCGCCTTGGCTAGATCCACCACTCGGTTGGCATCCCTCAAGTCGGCCACTGTTGCCCTCGCGCAAGCACGCTGCAAGCAGTTGACTCGGTAGCACAAATCCGGACGCGAGTACCTTGCAACCCACGCTAACGAGCCTACTACACTGCGCAACCGTGTCACATCTTGTTCCGTTGCTGCTTCTGTGCCCTTGCGGTTCGGATCGATACTGATGTGCCGAATGGACCTTGTGTTGTCCTCCGTGTCGATGGTCACGTTGAAGTCGGCATCCTGTCTAAACCTCCGGCCGCAATACCGGAAATCCGTGTCCTCAATCTTCCCCATGTCAAACTTGGCCATGATCTTGTCCATGATCTCTTCTCCTTCTGGCGTCGCACACCAAAGCAGGTCATCTACATGGGTCCCCAGCAGCACTGCAGGAAGGTTGTCAGACCCTAGCACGTAGTACAATCCAGTTGCAATCTTGCTTACCTTGGGTCCTTCCTCACATGACACATTGCACAGACGTGTGTAGAACCCTCTGCCAGCATCCATTGTGCCATACACCGGCAACCTACACAGCAACATAGCTTCTGGCGGCACACCGGGCAATCCTCCTCGCGGCTGCCTCATGATGATTACCCTTTCCAGCGGTTCTGACTGAAAGTATGCCGAAGAAATATCCCCGCACCTGAGCTTTATCTTGCGGCAAGCCGCGTAACTTGCGATCAGACAATGGGTTTCTGCGTCCACCGTGGGCGCATCACACCTTAGCTCATTTCGGGAGACGTTCTCGTAGTTCCCGCACGACACCAGTCTGCTCCTGTACCTTGGCTGGTAGTCGCTCCGACCTTTCTTGAATTCGTTCTTGTCGACATCCACCCACTGGCTTGGGATCGGGATGTGTCCTTCTCGAAGTAGGCCTTCTAGCATTGGTCCCATAATGGGAACTGCTGCATTGTACTGTTTGTACTTTTCCCATTCTTGTCCTCGGGCCTCGTGAATCCCTTGGGCTGTTTTCTCATCCACTCTGTTGATGTCAAGCTTCTTCGGCTTCTTACCATTCACTGCTTCACCGAACGGTTCATTTTTGGGTAGTATTCTGTCACTCAAGAATGCCTGATACTCCGCTGACTCCACTGGCGCCTGAGGTAATGAAGATAATTCCGCCTCAGTATCAGCATACTTGAACAATGTGAATCCCGTCCACGGTCCATCTGAATTCTCATCTGCTTCGCGAACCATTCCCCACTCATCGGTAACATGATCTGTTCTTCCACCTGAAAAGGTTTTGTGTGTTACCCTTGTGTGACTCACCCGACTAATATCACCTGGGAAATCATCGGCACTTGGGGTGTAGAGGCCTGTTCTGGGCTTCATGTGCACCCTGAAGAAGAATCCCGTAGCCACACGCCAATGATCCTCAGTCATACCTCGGGTCATCAATGATTCCATGGGGAGGTCGCGCTCTTGCGTCACTGACTCCTCCGCCTGAGTGTCCACGACCTTGACGTCGTCCTGATGATGTTCTCCCTGATGACAATCGGCTGTCATGCACGAACTCCCTGTTGCTCTGGCTAGTGCTTTCAATGGTTCCACATTAAACCCTTGATCAGCGAGGTCCTTGTGCTGTTGCTTTGTCAATTTAGGAAAACCTCGACTGGCGTATGCTGAAATAGACCATCTCTCACCTTCAAAAGGAAGTGTAGCATGCGCCTGATCAGGTCCGAATGTCACGACCCTGTGCTTGCACCTCAGAATTCTCCCATCCTGACCTTCGTAATCCATGCGCTTGGACTGGCCTCCAGGGTCTTGAACCCATATCTGTCCTCCTTCGTGAGGTCCTAAGCTGGTGAGTTGATTCACCGATCCTGGCATGTTGTGGTTGTCCGTGTGCTTCGGGGTCTCTGCATTCAAATGAATCACGAAGCTGGACCACCCCTCCGTAGCCCCACGTGCGCGTAGGTACTCGTTCACATACAGAACAAGCCATGGGTGCTCCAATGTTGCTTTTGTCACCCCTGAAAACGGACCATGCGCATAAGTTCCAAAGCTCATGCACTCACCGGTCTGATTGATGTCCCGCTTCCTCTTCTTCGGGAACTGACATGCTCTCAACACCTGCAAACATGTTCTCGGAGTGTAATCTTCGTGTTCCAAGGCCTGTTTGGCTAGCCTTTCACACTCCGTCATTGTATTTCCATCTGCTTGATGTGCTTCATGCGCGGTGTTGTTCTGCTCAGCTTGATGTTCCGGGATTGTGCCCGTCTTATCTATTGCTGTATTCCCTTGTCCTTCGCTTTCATCACTGGACTCTGAGCTTGAGCTGCTTTCGCTGCTGCTTGGAATGGGAATGTCCTTGGACGCTGCTCCCTCTTGTTTCCGCTTCTTCGCGTCAGGCTGCTTAGCTGCTTTTGCTGGTTCTGTCTTTTGACGCTTGTCAATGTATGCTTTCTTGCCTCTGGGTCCCTCTGTCAACTCTGTAGGCAGCAACGGGATCCCCTGTAGCATGCAATGAGACATGACTTCTTCTTCGGTAGCTGGGCGTAGGGCATGGACTGAGCACAATACCGGCACTCCACCGTGTATAACCCAAATCGACTCTGACCCTTCCTTACCGATCACTCTTGATGCGCTGCTCCACTTCGTTCCACCAGCCTGAGCATCTCGCCGATACACGACATAATCACCTGGCTGGTAATCCTCCTTGATCGGAGCTGCGTTCCGGGTCAATGCCTTTTGGACTCTGCGACTGCAATCCAAATGAATCATGGCTTTCTTCGCAGCCATTCTTGCCTGATGCCGTGATGCGAACTCGCTGCTCCCATCGTGCTTTGATTCCATTGCACCTAAGTCCAGCCATCCGTGCTCATCGGTCATCGCTCCTGGATCCCTTGGGTTTCGGCCTGTAACCCACTGCATTGGACTGTACCCAGAAGTATTCATCATTGCATTCTTGACTCCGATGACTTCTTGAACCACTGCTCGGATCTCTGAAACCCCTGTGGTACCCACTTCATGCACTACCTTTCTCACCACGGCTTTCGCAAGCCCTCCGTGCCTTTCTACTTTCCCAATCATCCATGGGGCCTCGGTCGCGGCGTACCTTATGTCAACTCCTTTCTCTGATGCCCACTTGTTGAATATGCCCCGATTGTGGGTGC